CCCTGCCTGCCATCTGTGCCCCGTGTGAAAGCAAACAGAAACAAAAACTACCTACGGACTGAAGCACAGCTGGGCATCCTGCACCCGCTGCTGGGCCCCGCGGGGCCCGGGGCCCGCCGACTCAGTGAGAGCACAGACTGAGGGTCCCCGGGCCTCGGGGGAGGGGAGGCCTTTGCTTCTCCCTCCTTTCGGCAGCTGTTTCTTCTCCTTTTCTGTTCCTTTTGTTTTGAACATCCAAACCCAGCCTTTGCGTCTCAGAAGATGCACACAAAGAACCGTCCTCTCAGTTAATATTGCGATCTGTCGACAGGCAAGTTCCAGCGGCCCCTGAAGGTCACGGACCCCTCCCCGCTCACGGCACAGAGACCTTTCCGGGAGGAAGCTGGGGGACCGGGCTGGGTGTCTGCAGCTCTGCCCTGGCCCAGGGAGGCTTCTCAGTATGTGCAGGCCCGGAAGGCCCGGGGGAGGCGGCCCGGCGTGTGGGCTGAGCTCTTCCAGTCTTCGGACGGCTGCGACCCATAAAACCACACTCGCCACTCTGCGCTCACACCCACACGCCCCCAGCACCCACCCTGAAGAGGAAACCCAGCCCAGCCCCTGTCATCGGGGCAACCACCTGGTGCTGGAGGAACAGCAGCTGTGGTAGAGAGGCACAGGAGGTGCGAACTGTGCGGTTTCTGAAAGTCGGAGGAGAAAACCCAGGGACTCTCTGGCCTCGGCTGCGCAGAGAACATCTTCCAGCGCCCGGGGAGTGGTCCAGACGTCAGCGGCGGCTCATCCTGCAGCCGTTCGGCCTGATGTGCCCCGACCCCGGGCACGAAAAGAACATCTCCCAGAAGGAGGGGAGGGTGTGAGTAAGTACACAGAACGGCCGCTCTCGAAGACTATGGCTCTCGAAGACCACGGCCGACGCCGTCCCCTGCTGCGGGTGGCCGTCGCATCTTGCTCGGGACGAGCCTAGAGGCAAGGGCCTCTCCCGGAGGCACTGCGGGCCGCGGGTAGAATACGGAGCCCCCGGGGGCAGAGGCCGCCGAGCCGCACGCGTGGAAGCAGCGACTCTCAGGAACCCAGCCGTGCCCTGTGCTTGCACGTTACCCTTCCTCCGCCCTCCAGGCCCTGAATTTGGTCTGTGCAGCCAGCACTCTCGCCTTGTCTGGGGGTGGACCCTTCGTTTCTCTCTCTTTGACTTCTGGTTACTTTCCTCCAAGAGCTGGCCCTCCCGGGGGTGTGCCCCCCGAGCCCGCCCCTCCCCGACTTCGCCGTCGGACGGAAAGCAGGTCCGCAGAGACAGCCCCGGCCTGCACTCCCACGCACCTCACCCCCGAGAAGGGCAGGGACCCCCTCCCGGCTTTCCAAGAGTCCCCAGAGGTCCTTCATCCTCTGCCTCCTCTGTATCCTGTTTGACTGCACGATGCCGGGAGATTCCTCAGCCTTTAAAATGTTTCTGTTTCATCAGTTGACCATTGCTTATAGGCTCGACTAACTATCTTCTCTCTTTCTTAAGTAAAAAAACTGCCAAATTGTAACATCTGACAGAACCCTCTTCACATGCATGTGTGTGTGTGTGTACATGTGTACACTTGCTGCCCACTCTGCAGATCTGGACTGGCCGGTCTCCATGATCATATAGCCAATTTCTTGTAATAAATTTCTTTCCCCGTATACCACATCTTATTGGCTCTATTTTTCTGGAGAACCCTGGAGACTGCCAACACCAATGACAGAAAAGATGCGTCGATTTACACTCTGACCAGCAGCGCATAAGTGGGCCAATCTGCAAAAAGCTATTGGTTCTTTGGCCCTTAAACTCTCCCCTTCCTGCGGGGCTGCGACGGGCCCAGTCTTCCGGCGGGTGAAGAACACAGGTTTACCCCGTGCCTCCCTCTGCAGGTCACCCAGGGGACTCTTCAGTGGTCTGCACTGCAGAGCGAGGCTCACGCCCTACCGGGCACAGCGAGGTCCAGTGCCCTAACGTTCCAGGCTCTCCTCTGACACTCCACTGCTTCATGTTCATTGAAAACACGGAATCTACCAGGTAGACCTTTACCCAGGACACCCACGTATCATATGCTGAGGCCTTTGGCTGGTGGGCAGGGAGAGGGCCCCATTCTCACAGTTTCTCCCTCACCCTTGAGGCCACCTCTCAGGCCACCTCTAGTGACAGTGAAATGTCACAGCCTGGGGTGAGAGCCACATCCTGTCAAGGAATGTGCCCTGGTCGGACAGGTCCATTCTGTGTCCCCTGCAGGAGTTGGAACCTCCACTGCGCCCTTCTCTGTGGCACCCATAACCCCTCAGACGCCCCTCTCTCTCCACTTCCTCTCCTTCCCTCACCCCAGCCCCCTACCTGCAAAAATCCTCTCCCCATCTTCATGGTCCAGCACAACCTGTCCTTCCCGTCCTGGTGCTGCAGCTGCGCTGCTCTGTGACCTTGAGTTCACCGGTGACCCTGAGCCTCAGTTTCTTCATCTGTGTCACGGGCACACATGACCCCCCCCCACGGTGCTTCACGAGGATTACATGAGATGACCTGTGTTTACTTAGCACCCCGTGGGCACCCAGCAAGAGTGAGGGGGTAGAGTATTTTGGGTAGGCCGCCCATTTTGGAGGACACTTCCAGAAAATCACTACGTATACTCTGGCTAGTAAGGACAGAGACACGTGGGTCATGGCGATTTTCTCCATGAATGCCTTTCCCCCATGAACGGCCTTGAAAAGGTGACCTTGACATGTCACCTCCCAAGTCACCCCAGAAGTGACTTGGCTCATTTTCCCAGAAGCAGTAAACAAATGAGCCTTTCTTACCCTTAAATTCTCTAAATCACTTACTGAGCGAGAAATGCCTGTTCTGAAATTCACATACATTCCCACATCATTTTGCATTCACGGCACCATTTATCCAGAACAAAGCATCCAATCTGCTCTCCAGCTCTGGGCTGCAGGCTTGAGGGGGAGGGGCAGCCGGGATGCAGGGTGGTCCACGACTCCTCCTCTGAAGGCCCCGGGGGCTCCTATGTCCCCTCGAGTCACCCCTCTCCATCCGCCCACCGTGCCTTGATCTGACGGGGCACATACGAAGCCTGAGAACTTGGGCAGGTGGCTGGACCTCACTACACCTCAGGGTCCTCACCTGCAAAGCTGAGGTCATGGCCACAGCCACGGGCACAGAGAGGGTCCAGTGAGAAAGCCCATGTAAGACAACAGCCGAGCTCCAGCCACAGAACAGCCGTCAGGAGAGAGGAGGACCCCGCACACGGAGGGAGCAGGGGGGCTCAGCTCCTTTGTCCTTCTGAATCCCTCACCGTCTCATCTACAAATTGGGATTTCTGGACCCAAAGTCCAACCTTCTATTGCTAAATAGTTTGTCAGCTCCCCCTTCACATTATACACATGTGTAGTATGTCCAGATCCTGGTATGTTGTTAATAAAGCACACAAAGGGAGCCCTGGCTGGTGCAGCTCAATAGACTGAGTGCCTGCCTGTGAACCAAAGGGTCACTGGTTCGATTCCCGGTCTAGGGCACATGTCTGGGTTGCAAGCCAAGTCCCCAGTAGGGGGCGCATGAGAGGCAGCCACACATCCCTTCCCCTCTCTAAAAATAAATAAAATAAATAAAAAGTTTAAAGCACACAAAGGGAAAATTTAAATATATTTAAGGATAATTTTGAAATACAGCTACTATATATATATATTTTTAATCCCATGTCATTCTTCATTAAAAAAAAATGAAGCTTTCCAAGTCTCAAAGGTGAGGGGAATACCCTCACCAGCCTGTCAGAAAATGGTTACTACAGTCAAGCTAACTAACATATCATTGCACAGTAACCATCTGCGTGTGTATGTGTGATGACGGCCCCCAAATCTACTCTCTCAGCACATTTCCAGCATTTAATACACTGCTATTAGCTACAGTCAGTTGCTATGCTTTAGATCTCAAGATGGATTTAGCCTGCATCACTGCAGCCTATCATACAGACCCCTTAGAAAGAAAGCACCGCCTCAGGTACCACACTCTCTGAGTAGGCACTTGGCCCACAACTGGGGAATTATCAGACGAGAAACCCACAGTTCCAAGGTGCTCCCTCCCTCACACTGCTGCTAATACCTGGAAATCTCATCACCGGGCATGTTGTACCAAAAGCATTGCAAATAATAATGATAATAATAATACCTACGGTTCCCCGATCACCAAGGCTAAGTTCCTGAAATATCTGATCCCCAAACCCTTCAACAAAGAGATGGCGTTGTTGACTCCATGTCCTGTTGAGGAACCTGAGCCCGGAGAGAGACTGAGCAGCTAACGCAAGGTTCTATGGGAAGCACCTGCTGAAAAACTTGAGGCTCTCCACTCCACCGGAACCAGTCCATGTGGCCAGTCCACCAGAACCAGTCCATGTGGCTGCTGCACACTCAGCGCAAAACCACAGCTACAGGCGGACACCAGGAGAACGCTGCGAGAGGTCGTCGGAGTCTTTCAGAAACGACAGCTCACCACTTCTGCAGGGTTCTCCGTAGTGAAACTTGAAGGAATATGTGTAGCGAGTGTTTGAACCCTGCCCGGGGTTCACTAACCCGTGCAGAATCAGCTCCGCAGGAAGGCCCGAGGGCACGCAGGGGCTGGGGCTGGTGGTGCTAAGTGCCCGGCACAGGGCGGCAGTGGCGCCGCATCACCAGAGGGAGGCATTTGGTGCCTGAACCCAAACACTGCCAGCATCAGTGTAATGTGGGGTCAGCTTATCATTACGACAAGACAAGACCTGTGCTTTCGTCCACGACATTCAAATTCCTGGGAGCCTTCTTCTCCTCCAACATGACAGTACATTAAGAAAAACAAAGTGAGCTCCTAGTTTTATGCCTCCGAAACCACATTCATAGGATCCAGACAGGGACTCCAAAAAAAGCATGGCGAAAACACGGAAAAGCATTTCATAGCTTCCGTGTAGGCTTTATAGACTCCAACACGGCATATCAGTGAAAGCGGGAATAAAATTGGCACTTACCTGGCGGAACCACCTGTATCACCTTTTCCCAAGATCCATGCGGGAACGTGTCCAGAAGACAGGAGTAGAAGCCCACGTCGGCCTCCGAGGCGTTCCGAAGGGACAGCACCCTGTAATTGAGCACCGAGGGCAACTCGACCAAGTCGACCCTCCCGGTGTACGGCTCCCTGATGTCCCTGCCGTAGTCGGGGTGGAAAATGGCGATGGACTCTTTCCTCGTGCCGTCCAGCCTGAACCACTCGATCTGGGTCAGGTTGAACGTCAGTGGGTGCACACACTCCAGGTGCACCGTCTCCTCCAGTTTGATGGTGGTGTCCCAAAACCTGGCTTCTCCTAGAGCTGAAACAGACACACCATCAGGTCCCGCTGACGCTGTGGCTGCAACCCCGCACAGACACCCCCGGAGCTTGCTCTGAGCTCCCTAAGACGTGGCCAGGTGGGGAGCTGAGCTCACGGCAGAGGCTCGCGGTGCCTACCTTACACCCTAGTCTGTCTAACAAGGTTTCCGCTGCTGGCGACAGGCACTGGGAAACATTTGTTTTTTTTCTGAACAAGTGAAAAATTATCTACGCCAAGAGGAGAGCATCATAATTTCTGAACATGCCACACTCTAAGACCCAAAAAAAAAAAAAAACCCCGAGTAAATTAAATGAAGACGTTGTCTCTACCTCTGTACACATGAAGGAGAGCCAAGAAGAGAGTCACACGATCCATCTCTGGAAAGCGCCCGGGAGGCTGGGCTGTAAGGAAGGCAATTTTGACAGCGTTACTCGCACAGGCCCGGCACCATGCACCGTTTCCTTCCTCTCAGATGCTATCGGCAGCGCCTCCTCCCTTTGAAGCGCGAACACAGGAAAAAGGGCTCGGCTTCAAAGTCCAGCTCACTCGCGTAGCGAGGATGGGCAGATGTGAGCTGCTCCTCTCTCGGGGAAATTGCCAACCTACCCTCACGCTTTCATGTTCTGCAAAGATTCATTCATCGAACAAGCACCTGCCGAGCGTGTTCTCGGCGCCAAGCTCTGGGAGGTGGGCGCAGAGCAATGCATTAAACTTTTAAGCCATCCTGGCCACCATGGAACTTAGATTCTAGTGGGAGGAGGCAGAAAGGAGAACAAGAGGTGAAGAGTATAGTGAGTTGCAGGTGGCAACTGCCGGAGAGAGAACGCAGCAGGGGCGTGGGGACAGGGAAGGCGCTGTCTTGTTTCCCTTCAAGAGACGGGCCCAGGAAGTCCTTGTGAGAGCACGAGATTGGAGCGGAGACCCGAGCGCAAGGGTGGAGCCTGCGGCGGCAGGGATGTGGCCACCGCGGGCAGCGCTCTCCGGGGCTGACCTCAGGCGCTCGCTCTGGCTCTGGGCGAGGCAGGGGCCCGCAGAGCCTCTCTGGAGAGAAAAGTGTCATGGCTCCGGGGTGGGGGGCGCCCATCGACCACATGGTTGATTTTTTCTGCCCTTTCAGTTGTGAATAATTACAGAGACACAGGAATTGGCCAAGACAGGACAGAGAAGACGTGTGAACCCTGTGACCAGTGTCCCCAATGGTCACAGCTTCCGTGACCACAGTGCAATATCAACACGTGATCAAGTTCGTCAGGGCTCCCTCCCACCCCTTGTAAGATGACAATTCAGTTTCTCAAGATCGTGTTAGCACCATAGTACTACAGGAGCATAAAAATACAGTATTGTCTCTACGGCAACAGGGATCACACAAATGCACGTGGCCCCTGATGGGCCAGTGTCAAAATAAAAGATGGGTAAAAGTTGGGCATTGGAGGGGCAGCACCCACTCCAGAAAATTCTGCCCGATGCCGACTCTGAACCTCCGTGTGGCTCACCCCGACGTTTGCCGGTTGGCGTTCACTAGCTAGCATCAGTGGCTGAGGTGGGGACTGCTTCCAGAAACATGAAATCAAGTACAAAGTCAACAATGTCGTGACGGTCAGAACAAAACTGTAATGTGTACGTGTAATGATGCATGGTGCCAGCATTTGCTTATGTAGCGTTCAATTTTCCAAAAACTGGCCCATCAATGCTGTTATTTGTGCTTGTGACAACTCTGTGGTAGTCACACAACATATCTGCTCCCTCTCTTCTGTGCGTAGCTCAGTAACACGATTTGCTGCAAATCTTCCTGTGTTGTGCCAGACTCCCTGCTTGGGCCCCAGAAACACCAGCCTGAGACAGACACAGCGTCTACTCTCAAATCAGGCACAGTGTACTCGGTGAGGAAGATTAAAGAAGCAACTGGTTACAATAACACTTGGTAATTTCTACACAAGTCATTTGATCAAGTTTTATAGCATCCCAGCGAGGGAACAATTCACACTAACAGATTTGGGCAGGTTTCCTGGAAAAGGTGCACCAGATCCGGGGCCTTCCAACCTGAGTAAGACTTTCCAAGAAGAAAAATGGGAGAAAGATCGTGTTGTGATGACAGGGGGAACTATCAGGAAATGGGGTGACCACAGTCTAGTGGGTGGGAGCTGACAAAAGTGAACTCAGGTCTGGGTGGCAGGTGTCTTGAACGGCGTACATAATGAACTTCATGCTTGGCCGTCAGGTACCCCAGCACCCTGCTCACACCTGTGACTCAGCGCCAAGGATGATTCCTGGAACGTAGGTCTATGGCACAAACATAGCCCTGAAAAAACCTTTTCAAAGTCATTGCAGCCAGAGCCATCAAGGTGAGATGCGGACAAAAATGACAGGAAATTGACTCTACAGAGAGATGGGGTGAGATAACGTTTGCTCTTACAGACTTTCTGGTATGATTATAAAAGCAAGTGGAAGCTTTTGGAAGCTTTTAGGTACCAGAGTAGGATCTGAATTAAATTCCTAGACAGACACCTGAACATCACCTGTTTCCTTTTCCTCATCCCTAACGGAAATCTGACTGTGTTTGGGGATCTGTTCCTTCTCCCCCGCCACAGCGATATTAGGAGAAATCGAGGTTGACAACTATGACTCTTTGGGGGCAGCAGTGGAGAAGCCAACTGTGGACTGAGTTGACCCATCTGAGCAAGGGACACCATGAACACACCATGGCAATGACAGGTGTCTCTCCCTCCCTTCGCTCCCGCCTCCCCCCTCTGTCTCCTCCTTTTCCTTCTCCTCTTCCTCCTTTTTCTTCATCTTCACCTTCTTCTCTATCCCCTCCCCCACCCCACTGGAATCTTACTGAATTCTTACTGCACTTCAATAAGGAAAAGTGTTCAGCCCGACGACAGAGGATGGCAGAGAGAGACGGGCATGAACTTGGGTCACAGGCGGCATCAGTGAGCCACTGAATTCAAAACTCCGGAGTCGGAGCCTATTGTGTGAGGTTATGATTGCCCATGTTTTATAAGCCTCTGGGAAAACGTGTGTCTGTCTCCTGCATCCATATGCTTCAGAGCTGCTGGGACTGCTCTGGCTGCTGCAAGAAGACCGGATTGGGAAGAAGGAAAAAAGGGACATCTGACTTGGGGCGCTGTCACCATGACCTGAGCGAGATAGGCTGATGGCTCATCCCACCACAAAGATGAAGGGAGAGGGAGTGACTGCTGGACTTCCCTATGGTCACACGGAGATGTGACAATGACAAGGTTCCTGCCTCCAGGGGACCCGTCGGGGTCCAGTTAGGAAGGCAGAGACGTGCCCACTGGTTCAACAGAGGGTGTTTGTGTTTCATAAGAAAAAGTACTAGAAAGAGTAATAGGAAAGCAAAAACAAAACAAAACAAAGCCAGCTGGGAGCAGGGAGACAACTCAGAGAGGCGCCCGAGGAGGAACCCACTTCCGCCACTTGGGCTGGAGGGCCTCGGGCCAGGAGGCCAGGGCTGCGCTCTGTGGGGGCCGCCTGTCTGCCCCAGGGCCCGGGGGGAAATGCAGTCCTTCCACAGCTGTCAGGAGAGGTCAAGGAATGGCTCTGCTGGAAAACAGGGGGAGCGGCAGGTGAGAAAACCTGTGCTCGGAGAACTGAAGGGACCGCTAGTGGAGGGCCCCCGTGAAAACGCACCGCCGGCCTCACACTCGGTGGTGAAGGTGTCCCCCCAAGGTCAGGTGCAAGACTAGGATGCCCGCTTTCACCACCACTGTCCACACCGTCTTTGAAGGTCTAGCCAGAGCCGTCAGGCGAAAGAAAGAGAAAGAGAAAGAGAGGAAGAAAAAGAAAAAGAAACGAAAGGCATCTAAATGGCAAGGAAAAGGAAATCCACAGGTTTAAGGCAGTCCTTATCAAAATTTCAATCATCTCAGGGGCCTTTTGTTTTGTTTTGTTTTTGCAGAAGTGGAAAAGCCGGTCCTCGGATTCAGGCAGAATTGCAAAGGGGCCTTGGAGAAGAGAAAAGGGACACTGTGAGTCACGACTTTCTAGTAACAGCTGGAAATGAGTGGCCCAGAAGCTCAAAGTCCAAGGTGGTGGCGATTCATGATATAAATAATCATTACGCGATTATTAAACAAATGCCCAAATACACATACACATACATGTATCAAGCGTGTGCGAGTGTGTGACTGCGTATGTGTCGCCAGGAAGAGAAAGAGGGTGTCAGGTACGGTGGGGCGGGGGGGTTGATTACTGAAGGGAAAGTGCTGATTGATAATAGCCCGTAGTGACCCCTTCGTTCCCGAGCCTCCAAAGCCAACCAAGCTAAGGGATAAAGGCAGGGCACGTGCCCTTGCATTCCGAAGCCAGGGAGGTAACTGATCCTCTTGAGAGGTGCTGGAGGGCGTGTGGCTGAAGATAAAGTTCAGCTGTGACCATTCTGCTGAGGATGAGCCCTCTGTGTCACCGTCTACCCCAAGACAAATAGCACGCTTCAGCTCTTATCGTGGTGTAGGCAGCCATGTTTTGCATGATTTATGGAGGGATTCTGGCTTGAGGTTTTGTTGTTGTTGTTTTTAATAGAGCTGTCCGTATGAAAGCACTTCATCCTCCAGGAAGTCATTAATCAAAATATTCCTGGAGGTCTCCACTGGTGAACCGCGTAAGGATGAATTCATCCGCTAGTTCACCTAGGGGACCTGGGCTGGTGGCGGCCCGCCTCTTAGCCTGTCCCCACAGACACGTCTCTATCCGCCCAAGGGCGCTCTTCTGCTTCCTGTGAAACGCCTGCTTTCACGTCTCTGGCCTTTCTGAATACTGGCACGATTCTGGTCTCCCTCCTCCGTTACCCAGGCCCCCTTCCCCAGCACGCGGACACTCGGGACTGTTCTGACTCCGTTCCTCGCCGCTGCTGTAGACAACCGCTGGCCGGCTGCAGAACGGAAAGCCGGTGGGAACCTCTGTGCACGGATGCCTGGGGCTGGGAAGGTCGCGGGAGTGCTGTCCCAGCTGTGCAGAGGCACTACTCCCAGCAAGCCTTCCACTGGGACGTGACGGTCTAGGTTTCCGCTCCCTGCCTCAAAGGGCTCCCTGTCTCCTTAAGAGAACCTTTCCAATGAGGGGAGTGTGGTTTCCCTTCCAGGGGTGTCCAACCTGCGTGTGGCCCGTGGGCCGTGCGCAGTCCGTGATGGCTGTGAATGCCAAAATCATAAATTTACTTAACATATTATGAGATTATTTTGTGATTACACGTCACAGTGTATCTAATGCGTGGCCCAAGACAACTCTTCTTCCAGTGTGGCCCAGAGATGCTAGGAGGCTGGACACCCGTTCTAGACCGTGATGCCCTTGACCTTCAGCATGCCACAGACCCACCCCTCTGAGGGAACAGTAAAAACGCACTTGCATTCAAAGCAGAGACTTCAGCTGGGGTTCAGGGGGGATCCTCCAGGACAAGGGTCTGCAAACCGCAGCCCGTCGGCTGAATCCGGCTGACCCTGTAAATGCTTCCGTTGGCTCTGGGCCAGGCTCTTTTCTCCGCATGTTTTCTGTGGCTGTTTTTGTGCAACGATGACCAGTTGCCACCGAGACCATACGGCCACTACAACCGAAAACCCTCCCTCTCTGACCCACGACAGGACAAGAGCGCCCGCCCTCGTGCAGGACGCCCTTTCGGTAAGGACCACTCAGCACGGGAGTTCACCCCTGCTCGGTCCTCCTGCTCGCCAGACACCGCGAGAGTCAGCTCCCTTTCCTTATCCCCGGGAACTCTGTCCCGGACCTTCCACACACACAGTTCTTCCAGAAACAGA